AACCTTCCGATTACAAGGCGAACATGTCATGATGACAGACATGATGCAGTCAGGTTCTGGCATAATAAAAATGACAATACATAATAAAAAAAAAAACCCGAAAATAATAAAAACTAAAGAAAGGATAAATTAAGGCAACAGATAGAGATACTCCCTAAAACTTTAACCAAATAAAAATTGCTCTGACCCCAGAAAGTTGACTCTGTTCATCTGGAAGTAGCACTTTCAGCAGGAGAAATGTCTTGTCACACCTCCAAGTGACTTCTTCAGTATCAGCTGTCTGTGGAATTCTCAACCTTTTAAACTGTACATCTGCATAATGCCCGAAACTACCACCATTGCCTAACAATGGGCCGTCAGCTCAGTTTCATGATCGTTAATATGCAAATTGTCATGGCCACAATCACAGCATTGTAAGACGGTGAAAGATGGCACCCTCCTCAGTTCAGAGACACTCTCTCTTTTTTTTTTCCTCACTGTCCAGGATGTGCACATCAATCATTGGATGGATCAACATCAATATTGAAAAAGTGACCACTGGAGTGCCAATGTAAACAGACTGCAGAGTCCTGGCCTGATGAGGTAGTTCTGCGTTGTGCTTAGCCAGAGGGTGATTGGTTTCTCTGATAAATAACTCATTGTAATGTCCATGGCACTTAACAACATACATTATATTACTCTTTGTTGGGGGAACTAAATCTTGGGGTCTACCAATTTTTGGTGTAGCACAATTTGGTGTTTGAAAACAACAGTGACAGTGTTGAGAAAATGTGTCTCACCTGTTCTGATATTAAGGGATTAGTGAAGGTTTTCATTTGGGAATTGGTTGACCTTTTCTCTTGTATCACTTTGACCATATTTAAGGTACTTTCCAGCTTTTGACAAATATCCAGCTAGGGTAACCACATTTACTCAGGGCTTTTCGTTATGATGTTCTTCTGTGGCATGTCTGTGTCTGTGGGGAAGGTGTTAGCTCTGTGTTGTAGTGCCCTAGTGATATCTAGTTTTGTTCCAGTGGATGATTAGAGTCAAACCTTAGTGATCCTTATGCAGTGGTTTACTGTTACACATTGACTATGAAACTGAAGAAAGCTAATCTATTATTTTTCGTATCCTCCTGGGTGAACTTACTGTGTTTGTCCACCAAGTTAATGTGATCACTGAGATTTGATTTTCACCCAGGTGAAACCCAGCCAACTCTCTGTGAATGGTACTCATGGCCACTAATCAACAGTCATGACAATTTGCATTTTAAAGATCATGAAACTGAGCTCACAGCCCATTGTTAGGCAATAGTGCTAGTTCTGGTTACAATGTAAATGTACTGTTTAAAATGTTGGGGAAACCTGCAGTCACTGAGACTGAAGAATTTACTTGGACCAGAGACAAAACATTTCTCCTACTCCAAACACTACATTCAGATGACCATATTCAACTTTGGGATTCTTTATCTGAATGATTAACCGTGCACTAAGGCAAATTGCTCTGACATGCAATAAAACAATGAATAAACATCTCAAAATTGAATGGGTAAGACAAAGGTAAACCTCAAAAGCAAAAAACAACATACATTATTAATACTGTGTATTTCACCCCAAGATGTCACAATGTAATAAACTGATTAAACCAAAAAGATCATGTTGTAAGCTATTAAGACTCCTGTCAGTGATTCAATCTTAATAAATAAAGGAAATACATTCACAACCAGTAGGATACATTTTGTTTGCTTGTTCATTTGTTCTCAGACCACACGGTTTTTGATCTAGGGGTCACTCACAACTAGGCCAAGGATGTTGTTACCATGGCAACTAAACCAGAAAGAACAGGACCAAAAAAGGTGCAAGAAAAGTATGTTCAGCTCTAGGAATCCCTCAGATATACTACCTACCTGATTACTCAAAGGACTTTGACCCAGTCTTTCTTTGCTAATTTATGGTGCAGATGATGAGTTTAGACAAGGAAAACGAATTAGGAGTAATGTGATCAATAGTTCAGCCCCGTGAGCTTGTTTGACTTGCTCATTGCTCAGTAACTAGCCTTTGACCCAGCTGGTCCTATTTATTTACACACAGTGTACACACATGAGAACATCCCTTAAATTCAGGTGAATAATTTATCACCTCAGTGGTGATAAGTTAATCACAAAAATCCAAATCCAACCATGGCTTTTAAAGTATAACAATACATAAAACAACAACCTAAAAAATACTGTTCAAAGAAAATGAAAATAAAGTTCATAGGTAATAACCAGTAAATGTTATGCTAAAGCTTTAAAATGCTGTATGACTTCATGATTACTCGCCTCTAGGGAAAGAAGCTTGTACAAATAGTAATTTTTAGATTACTACCCTGTGCATGGTCACACACTTGCACCCCAAAATACTACAAAGATTGAAAGACTGAAAAATAAACTCCCAAGTTTCGTATCTGCAAAGCCTTAGAATGATTAGCTAAGTAACGGGCCTCAGCATGAGCAATCTCTAGAAGAAACCAGTCGGATGAATGCCCATGCTCTGTGTCTATAATGCTCAAACACATCTGTCTGGAATGGCAACAATTACCAGATGTGGTGAATAAAACGAAAAACTGCACAGTAATGACTGCTGGCGAGCAACAATCGTCGAGGAGCCAAGATCTTAAAGTTAGGCCACAGGGCATAGATTACTGCCTGGGTTTCGTAATGGACGTCGGTACCATGCACAGCAGAACAGAAAACAAGACGAAGACGAAGGCGTTTGATTTCCGAAATTATGACAGCACCGCTTTGGAAAATGCACATAAGGGTTGTGTTTTTTTGTTACACGCTCAACTGACTGCATTCCCAGCAAAAAAAAGCTCCAGTGTGCGCCATCATCACCCTGACGGCGTCACCGTCTCCCACAACACAAGACAGTCGACGAGCAAACTAGCAATAGATGCCAAACATGATGATCGCATCATCACTTATTTAACTATTTTAGCGTAGTTGTGGCTAACATTGAGTGAGACAGACAATGAGTGTCATGTACACACACATTGTAGGTGCGGTTATTGTGTCTTTTGATCCACAACCACCAACTAGCTTTAGCAGCAAGCTAGCTACCAAAAACAGGCCGCCGTGCAAGAGAATGGTCTCAGTGGGCGCCGGTCATCAGTGCGCTCCCTTAGGCCTTTCCACCGCTGTTACCGTTTCTTTTGCAGGTTATTCATTCGGTTTACACAGACAACATGACTGGCACAACAACGTTTTAAACAAGAGCCTTTACCTGTGTTTCTCAGGTTGCTAGGGCGCGCGGGATCTTTCTTTCCGAGGAACCTGAACACCTCTCGTTGTTGATGACGTCACGCGTAGGTCTTTAGATGAGGACGTAGAGAGCGCGTCACAAATATCGCGGACTGCGACTTCAGCGTCAAATGAGGAGCTCTCGTCTGTGTTGCCTTCTTACCCTGTGCAGATGGCATTCATAACGTTTGTTTTTCCGGCAAGTAAGTTGCCGGAAAACTTGTTGCCCAATACAGCAACAGTCTGTTATTATATTGACTCCCTATTTCTAACTTTAGAAATAGGGAGATTGGTCAAAGTTAATTCAAAGTCTCATTTAAGCGGATCCATAGATTCTGTCCAGTTAACAATTTCTTTCAAAAATTAAAGAATGAAAATCTCGCGAAACGTGTTCCTTGGTCTTGTTATTTTTACATAAGGTTTCTGGAAAGGTGTATAATGTTATAATTTTTTTTATGTTTGATATGGTATTCTCTTTTTTATAGTAATTTTATATTTGCCCGCTATGATTATTGAGACAAAAAAAATGTTGCTGACCTCTTGAGTTGTTCCACACTGACAAAAGAAGATTTTCATTTTTTTTAAATTACTATTATTGATATTTTATTATCTTGATCTAACTCAGTTATTTGTTTGTATTATTATTATTATTATTTTTTTGCATCATTTACCTATTTCATCACCTTTCTTGGTTACTTAAAAGTTTAAAAAGCGGTAACTTTGCATTCAAGTGAAGGGATAAAACTGCAATTAAATGTTACTGAAATATTTCTTCTATTTTTTTCTCCTCCTTCTGTAACTGTGATCGATTTGTATGTATTTAAAACACATAGCTATTCTGTTAACTTTCTCAGTTTCTTCAAGATTCGAAATAAAGCTTGGGGGAAAAGAAGGCATCAACTGAGTTTTTGCATTTGAAGGAATATATTGGTGAGTTTAGACACTTTTTAGGGGTGCTCAAGCATTTAAAAGGGCCTCTGTCCCTTTTCTCATACAAAATGAGGGAGAGCAAAAAATAAACAGGTAAGTGCACGGTGGCGCAGTGATTAGCGGTTGTGATTAGTATCATCAAGCCAGGGCCTTTCTGTATGGAGTTTGCATGTTTTCCCTGTGTTTGCGTGGGTTCTCTCCGGGTACTCAGGCTTCCCACATTCCAAAGACATGCAGTTAGTGGGGTTAGGTTAATTGGTGATTCTAAATTGTCCATAGGGGTGAATGGTTGTCTGTGTTAGCCCTGTGGCAGACTGGCGACCTGTCCGGGGTGTACCGTCCCCCTCCCCCTATGGTAGCTGGGACAGGTGATGAAGGAATACATCACGTTAAGGACTGAAGCTATAATAAACATAACTATACCAAAGTATGATGCTTAGCGTGCACTCGTTGGTTCTGAAATTACTTAAAAGCTGATATCAAAATTACAGAATTGCAGTCACCATTCAGGTCGGACCAATTATCTGCTTGCAAATATTACTCAGAAAGGACCGATCAACTACATTTGGACAGAATCGGTGGTTTTGGAGCCCCTCTGTGGACAACCTTGGTTTATAATGCCATAATCCAAAAATTAGTGCGATGTAAAAGTGTTTGTCTGAAACAAATTTTATTTGATCGAGGAGCCAAAATGTGTACTGTGTAGTATATTATAGCAGATTTAGTGACACATTCAATTTTTATCTATTAAAAATCTTTTCTCTCAACCACCAACGCATGCGCCATAGTTTTCTTGCGCTAGACGTAACCCGGAAGTAGTTTGAAGGTCTGCTTATAGGAGTTTGGATAAGGTCGCTTGTCCATATTCACTGTGAAAATGGGTGTTAAAATAGAGGTATTTCGAGTAAGTATTTATTTTATACTAAGGCCGTGGACATGTGTATTTTCCATACATTCTGAGACCGTACGACTTTCTAAGGTTTTCGCTCTAGTTAGCCGTTTTCATTATGCTAGCAGAGGTACAGTTTTCTACTCTATGTTAAAAACCGATGTGTGTAATTTGTTTTGGACAGATGATGCTGTATCTCTCCTTTCCCGTGACCATGTTTTGGATCTCAAATCAAGCAGAGTACTTTGAAGAGTATATAGTGAAGAGAAAGGTTAGAAATTTATTTTATGTCATGTGTATCGGTCTTCTCTAGATAATTATTCTTGTAGTAACAATTTTTGCATCTTTCTCTGTGCCATGTTGTCTATTTTTGCGGTATGCAGAGGGAAATCTTCCCCCCCGACGAGGAATCGCAGGTAAGAAAATGCACACAAGTTAGTTGCGATCAACACAAATCAAGGGTTGTATTTTTCTTATCTGCATTGTGTACCTTTAGGAATCACTCACAGTGCAGGCTGGAAAAAACTACGTTAATTGTTGAATTTAGTACCTTGTAGAACCTCAGTGGCGAAAACCCCCCATCTTGTATTGATGTTCGTGCGTATTTTGCTGTGCCTCTGTGGGTTTTTTCACTTCTATCAGGTTTGTATGTTATGATCTTTGCACAAGACCCACTGTTAGAATTAACTGGAATCCAGAATTTGTATGGAGTGTGTATTGGCTGGCAAATACCCTCTTCTTAAGGAATGCTTTGTAGTCTTCCCAGCTTTGTGTATCTGTAAAGTTTTTTCTAGGACCCTGTGAAAGGTTTTATCATCGAGTCACACCAACCAGTCCTTCTCGAGAAGGGAAAGGCTTTGTCAGTAATTAGACTTTGTGCTTTTATTTATAAGGAGGAGTATCTCAATAACGCCATAAACACATGTACTCTAGCACAGACATTCAAATATTTTATTTCCAGCATGGATAATGATGACTCGGTGTTAGTCAAATCTGTATTCATCAATAGTTGTGACCTAGATGAAGAGCAAACAAAATAACGTTGGGCATTGTTTAAAATCTAAATAAAATTGAATAGAATAATTTGCAGATTTCAAAACCATATTTTATTTACAGTAGAACATAGAAAACAGTCAAATGTTTAAACTGAAATGTTTTACTGTTTCATGAAAAATATTAGCTTATTTCAAATTTAATGGCAGCAACATGTCTCAAAAAAGTTGGGAGGGGAAAAAGTAAGTGGTAATAAAAAAAAAAAAGCAAAAGGTGAATAACATTGCTGTGTGTAAACATAAAAAAAGACATTTTAAAAAAGGAGGTAAAGATGGGCAGAGTTTCACTAATCTTCAAAAAACTGCATTTAAAATTTGTGGATCAATAATTTTGAAATAATCTTCCTTAATTTAGAATTGAAAAGACTCATATTTAGTACATAATATCACCAAAAGAGTCCAAGAATCTGGAGAAATCTCTGTGAACAAGGGACATGGGTGGAAATCAGTCTTGGATGCTCATGATCTCTAGGCCATGAGGTGGGACTATGTTAAAATAGGGAGGATTCTGTCATAAAAATTGCTGCAAAGGCTCATGAATACAGTTCACCACGCCATTCATAATTGCATGTTAAAGTGCTATATTGCAAAGAAGAAGCAACTTGATCCAGAAACACTGCTGTCTTCTCTGAGTCAATCCTTATTTAAAATGAACTTGAGCAAAGTGGAAAACTGTTATGTGGTGGAACAAATTGAAATTTGAAATTCTTTTTTGGAAAACATGGACACAATGTTCTTTGTTATTAGGAGGAGAGGAGCTATCCAGCTTTTTATCACTGCTCAGTTCAAAAACCTTTATCTCTAATGGTTCAGGGGTGCATTAATGAAAACATTTAGCACGGCATCAACCAAAAACATATGACAGACAGGACTGTTGAGCAGCTAGAATACTATATCATCACATAACATAGCAGTCCTCTCCAAAATTTGAATACCTATTGTCCTCAGTTCCCAGATGTTTATGGACTGTTCATAAAAGAATAGGGGAGTTGTCAATTTTGATTTGTCTGTCAATAGCTCAATGTCTTTGACCTGTTCAGAAAGAACAGTATTTTCATAAAGACTGCTGAGTTACTGCTAAACAGCACATTATTTCATTATGGTTGTTCTATATATCTGTTTTCAGAGAAAAGAGTTGGAGGACTTCAAAGAGCGAATGCGTGTTCGTAAGGAGCAGCGGCTATTGAAAAATATTCCTCTGGAATCTGAGAACTGAACATTACATGTTGAAGAAAATGATTTTCCACCCTTTACCAATGATACCAACTGTCTGGCAGTGATTTTGAGGCCCAAGGAAAAAAGTTGGACTGGAGTATGCCCATTTCATGTTGGAAATCTCTGCTAGATTAACTCTTCCCAAAGATGCGCTGGGTAATAATTATTTATGCCTAATAAGTTTATTGTCCTTTCATTTGTATGCAACTTTTTTTCCCCACATGGTTTTTCAAATGGTACAATTGTTTTCTTAGCTGTTGTTGTTACTTTGCCTTAAAATAAATACTGACCTGTACATCAGATTGAATCTAGTTTATTATTATCTATTTGCAAGGTGCAGTGCCTACCTTGTCCTATTACTTATATTGTAGTGTATTACAGTATTGTATTCTAGGTAATGGTGCTTCAGATTAACAGAAATAAATACTAACTATAAATTAGTTCTCCACAAACTCCTCTAAAATAATTAACAGAATAAACCAATCGTTTTCCAGTTAGCAGAACTTGATGTGCTTTCTGTTTGAATGAATGATGCTAGTTGGGTATTTTTAATAATGATGATTAAGTTATGTCATATTTTGTAAGCGCATTTTCCATGTATCACTGTGGGGAAGAATTTGCTTGATTATTTGATTATTCATATATTTAGCAAACCATATAATTATGTTTTTTTTTGTTATTTTTTATTTATTAAAACAAAAGTTTTTTTTCTTTACTGAATGGACGACAGTGATGTCATATTAAAGTGCATCTCATATTATGCAAAGGTTAGGACATGTTTTAAACAAAATCACACTAATAAGGGCTAATAACTGCTTCCTTTGCAACGCTTAGAGTTTGTACACCTTCAGTAAAGGCTTGATACTCTACTAAACCATATCTCCTTGAATGAATGTTTCTGTGCTGGCCAACCTTTCATTACTACTTTTTTTAAGAGGTGAGACTTGTTCCCACATCCTGAAGATTTGAAATCATTAATCATTTTGAAGGAGTCGTACCAAATGGAAATAGAATATTCTAAGTATAAATATTTACATCTGAGAGAGCCAACAGCTAAACTTTTTATCAATGGTGTTGAAGTGCTGACAGATTTTCCCCTTGGCTCGTCAGCTCATATCCTCAAATATATTTGGCAGTACAATACAGCCAGCTGGATCCCTCATGGCTGTCTCCTGGGCCACTGGTGCGAGAGAGTGTGAGTTTCTTTCTTACTACTGTTTATCTTTTACAACTGTCATTCACTTCTGAAGCCATATTTAAGCTCTCTGTTTTATGACGTAATAAGCAGGTAAGTGGTATTCATTTTATGATAATAGATGTAAATGACAGAAGCCAAGTGGTGATATATGGATGTAGCCTACACTTGAACCAATCAAAACGACCATAGAAAGGCTTACAAATGTCATTGTGTCCAGTTGTTTAAGGCGAAAATAACTCATTAATGCAGTCTAGGATACTTCTACGTGTTTGTTATTTAAATCAAAAACTTAAATAAAAAGTCCAAAGCACGAGACTCTTGTAATGGTGATATCTTTGACAGTAGGGGGCAGTATTTTGCTTTCAAACGCTTCGAAGCTTTGCTTAGACCACAAGGAAGTGACCAACTCTCTAGAACACTGCTGTCAAGATGGCACCGATTGGGCTGAAAGCTGTAGTCGGAGAAAGTAAGTGACATATTTATTGTATCTAATCTCACTGTAGCAGTTTATTACAGTTAAAAAAAAGTACTTTATTGTAACCATTATCGCTGTAACTTGATGAACTGACGTTCAATTTATTAAACAAAATCGTGTTGTGGATGACGCTTCACCAACTCTTCCTGCTTCACTCCTACTAAATATGCTAACGTTGCCGAAGGAACCGATGTCATCATTTAAAAAGTCATATATATATAATAATAGTATTGTGTTACACGTGGTGATAGCAGTATTTGCTTAATTTGCTGAAGTTTTATGTGTTTTTGTGACATTAGCCACACTTGAAAGTTAAAAGTCGCGACGTTAGGGATTGAAAATGTTGTGACAGTCCAAGTTATAGGCTAACCCAGGCTAGCTAATCTGAAAGGGAAGTCTAGTAACTTCGCTTGTGATCTGTTAAATCATCCTGGACATTTAGGCTGTAAAACGTCATGTAGTCACATCTTTTGTTACACAACTTGTAGTACATTGCGTTGAAAGTAAAAAAAAAAAAAAAACGCATGCCGGGGTTAAAACATTACGTATTCACAAGGCTCATCTAGTAATGCTTATTTGTAATTATATGCTAATTGTTTCTGCTAGACTTTAGAAGCATTAAATTTGGGCTTATGTTCCTTCATCTCACATTTTCACATCTTTTAAGAAGTCTGAAAAATAAAAATAACATACCATTACAAAGTGGTATGATTTGTAATTTACTATCTGCTATTATTAGCTGAAAACGTTGTCCATACAAGATGAGTTAACCTATTTGGAGTATGCCTAAAATATCAAATAAAATCTCATATTCAATATTTTATTCAGAGCAGTGAGAGAATAAATCCCCATAAGGAAGTTTCCTTGCAAACTGGGTAATTTTTTTTTTTTTTAGATTTAACAAAACTCTTCGAAAGTTTAATCTTTTCCAGTTCCCTGTATGAGCGACCTGGAAAATCATTAGTGATGAAGGTCACACTTGGTGCAAAAAAAGAAATCTTTTTTTTTTTTTTCCCTTCCCATTTCTTTCTCTCAAAAGCCCTGAACCATAATAAGCATATATTCAGTAGCCACCATAATAACAGGAACCTTACCAGGATTTATACAGCAATCATAAAACAGTGATTACAGTGATGGCTAACTCGGAACTCCCATAACAAGCTATTTATGTCAGCTATTATTGTGAAAACAGTGAGTCATATGTCTTATATGTCTTAGGGAGCAGAATCTATGTTTTTAATCAGGTTCAAATCATGGTTTAACAAGGAAGTGAAGACATCATATTGGTGCAGTTCAACTTTTCATGTTTCCTACCACACTCCTTTCTTCTGTACCCTAGTTAATTATTGTCAATGAAATTTTTTTTTTGGGAACAGTGGAGGAGACTATTTGGCTGTTTGTTTTAGCACACGTACCACACCTTAGCTGTTGTGCTTAGGACGTCACTGGAGCAATTGTGCTTCTGTCTATATAAGACCAGGAAGTTGCACCCAAGCAAGTTTGTTACCGCAAGTGTTAAATATGTTTAAAAAGGGTTCCCGTTTTTTGAATTTTTGACAGTAGAGCTGACCTTTGACTTATGTTGTTGTTTCATAAGTCACACAAATTCTTTGGAAACTATTCAGTAAGCTACATTTCATTAAAAGCTCAAATTACTAATGAATGCTGCAACAACAATCTAGAGTATCTTGACTATATGCATGTTTCATAAAGTATTTTTTTATTATTATTATTGCTAAATTTACTCCACTTGTGACTCGTTTTAGCTCGTTTTTGTTATGAGATTATGGGTTCTTGCATCACAAAATTATCTTTTCATCTACAGAAATCATCAGTGGTGTGATCAAGAGTGTGAAAAAGGATGGAGAATGGAAGGTAACAGTAGATACAAAAGAAGAAATTCTTTTGATTTTTGTTGCACTGAATTTATTACCACTGTGTGGCCTTTGTTTAGGTTCTTATTGTGGATCACATGACCACAAGAATTCTGTCCTCTTGCTGCAAGATGTCTGACATTTTGGCGGAGGGGGTGACCAGTAAGTATGGATATAATTCATAGTTTTAAGTTTAGTTTTTTAAATAAATGAGAGATCAAACTTTTAGCTGTTGAAGAGTAAAATGTGCCAACTTAATTCATTTTCTACGTTTAAATGACATTGAAATAATCGCATTGTCTTTTCTGTTTTTCAGTTGTGGAGGACATCAATAAACGCAGAGAACCCATCTCCAGTTTGGAGGCCATTTATTTAATCACCCCATCTGAAAAGGTTCAAAAGAGTTCCGTCTTTTAATGTTGCCATATCTTCAAGATTGTTCTCATGTGCACAATATTTTAAAGATTAATATGTTTTCAATTACAGTCGGTTCATGGTCTCATTGATGATTTCAAAGATGCAGCCTTTACATACAAGGCAGCGCACATCTTCTTCACCGACAGTAAGAGTGGAACTATAAATATGAGAAATGTATTTTTTTCCAGACTTCCAGTGTAAAACGCTAAAACTGACATTAATTCTTTCTTCTTTTTTTTTTGCCTTGTTTAGCTTGTCCAGATCCTCTCTTTGCTGATATTGGGAGAGCCAAAGTTTCAAAATTTATCAAGACTTTAAAAGAGATCAATGTTGCTTTTCTTCCATATGAGTCGCAGGTGGGTAAAATTCTTATATTTCATTGAGTCCAAATTGTCTTTGGACATTTCATTAGAAATGTTTTTGGTTTTGGACAAAACTTATTTGACAGTTAATCATTTAATTGTATGGCAAAAAGACAAACGTTTTCCCGAGCTGCAATCAGTTATAGTAATATTCTCTGTTGGTTTATTGTGACAAGCAATATCTTTCACAGTTTCTCTTGTCCCCGTAGGTTTTCTCGCTGGATGACCCAAAATCCTTGTACTCCTTCTACAGTTCTAAGGCAAATGAAACAAGAGATAAAATGATGGAAAATGTGGCAGAGCAGATTGCGACCCTGTGTGACACTCTCAAAGAGTACCCTGCAGTTCGTTATCGCAAGTATGGGCCCCTTCATGAGAAGAAAGAGAGAGAGATTTAAACAAATAAATCTTTTCCCACTGAATGTATTATGCTGATTTTTTTTCTACTTTGTTTTTAGGGGACCTGAGGAAAATGCTAGACTGGCTGAAGAGGTCTATCAGCGCCTCATTGCTCACAAAGCTGAAAACCCAACCATGGGAGAGGTAGGAAATACTTTGGTCTTCAACCACTCGATTTCTCACATTCTCTGCTGTGTAATTTCAAATCTTAAAAAAAATGGTGAACAAAATGTTTACACTGCTTTTTTTCCTGCTAAATCATCTTTCTCATGTAAGAGAATAAATCTCTGTTGGGATTCTGCAGCTCTTCAGCTTAACAGGTTGTGAATATTTCTTTGGTTTCTGGGATTTATTTCCTGATGATTATTTTCTCATCCTTTGCTGGACCTGTCCTTTTTTTCCCTTCTTCTTTTCTGTTTTTCTTAGCTAACATTTCCTTGCTCCTGAGATGAGTCTTAAAAGGCATGTATTACTGTTCCCTTTTTGCGTCTATGCATGTCAGGTGCTTTATCATTCTATGCTGTACGTATTTCTTTTTTTTTTTTTTTTTTTATACATCTAGCAGTGATGCTAAATTATAATAATTGATAATTAATTGATTTCATTGCATGACATTGCAACAATTAATTAATGTGTACTTTCAGCCAGTCTCTTTTAATGAATCTTTAAATTAAATCATATATTTAAAAAGTACTGGATGATATCCTTAATTTGTATTATTTTTAGGGTCCAGATAAGGCGCGATCACAGCTAATCATTGTTGACCGTGGGTTTGATCCCGTCTCACCTGTTCTTCATGAGTTGACCTTCCAAGCAATGGCTTACGATTTGCTAGACATCAAACAGGACATCTATACGTGAGTGACTACCTTTAGATTTTTATATTGCTCAGTCTGTTTGGTGTGCTGTCTTTGGTATACCAGTCCCTCCATTTGTGGACTTTTAAACATTTTTTTTAATTTATTTTTGGATATTAAAGTTATCAGACAA